AGAAAATTTAGCTTCTGGTTTTGAGCCTCTTGCCAAAATTTAGCTTCTCGAGTAGCTTTCAGAAGAATTTCGACCGAGGAGAAATCTCTGTTCGAGAAAATCAGTTGATTCCGTGACGTCCAGAGATTCCAGCAAATCCAAGCTCCCAAGTGGTTCCTTGGTGGGATGATCCGGAAAAGATAAGTGGAGCTGATTGCCAAACCGATTGTGCCATCTGACAGTCCCGCAGCACATGGAGGGTTGTTTCAAGCATATTACAAGTAGGATCTGTCTGAATACCTCTGTTAACCAGAGCTTGACCCACAGGCAGGGCCCCTGCAGTAAGTTTCCAAAGAAAATTCTTTATCTTAGGACTTGTTCGGATTCTCCAAACGTTTGTCTGCCAATTGAAATCAAATTCAGGGGGAAGTTCCATTGGTTTTGCTAGACCATACTCTGTTTTCGTCGTATACTCTCCAGTCTCCACTTTTATGAAGCAATGGAGTCCTCTCGCACAGTGGAGCTGAGCGGTAGTTGACGGACACGTAATTCTAGGGATCCTAGGGGAGTAGGGCCCATTTGGTTGCATTGGCTTCTCCGAACTGAGCCACGGAAGTGAGAAGACCTTCACACTAGTTCCATCACCAATTCTCCATCCCATGCCTTTCAAAATCAAATCACGTCCAGCGAGAATACTCCTCCAACCATGAGAACACTCCAAGAAGGAGGACGAGAGGCAATACTTGCCCAAGAGGACCCTGGCAAGGGGCTCTAATTATCCGCCACCCTATTTTCGCAAGTAGAGGAACGCAATTAAATCACATCGACTAATTAGGCATTGCCGAATGAACCGATTTCAACAAGTCCAACTGTGTGACTTCTGCTTTATACGGTCCACTATCTGAGCAAATATATCTTTCTTTTTCCGTCCACTATGTGACTTGGCCAGATTTACGATTTGAAGAAGGATAAAGCCGAATTTTGACATACAATTAAAGGGCCAATTTGAACTTTTGTTAATCATGTTTTAACTACAAATTAACATCTTTTCTGAACTTTTGTTTATCATATTAACGTCACCGTAATCAAAACTGTAAAATCGACGAAGTTTGAAAGTCGAAATTTATAAAAATTAATGTTAAATAATTGGTGTATTACGGGTATATTTTAGAAAATTTTCTTTAAATTTTATAGAGAATTTGCATCATATAGCAAGAGATTATTAGGTATTTAGCTACGTAACTATGACACTGTTGAGAACTGTTCTTATTTCTGTAATTCGATTATCCCCTAGATTGTTCTCGCTTAGCTTTCATAGGTTGTAGAATAATAGTAATGTTGTGTCAGAAAAAAGATCAAAAGAAATCTCTATAGTATTTAGTCCATACATACATAACCAATATACATGACTT